TCGCCGGGACGGCTCGACATTTAAATAGGGGTGGGTGTAAGGGGTTGAAAATGACACTTTTTATGCATATTGTAAGAGGCCATCGTCTTTGAAGTTTTTTGTGGCCAGCATGATAATCTGGTTATGCTAATTCGAGGCTTTGATGATAGAAACATCAAGGACATGGCGGATAGGTGCCAAATGTTGTATTGTTCCCTTGCTAGACGACTGTCTGCATTGCAATCTGTGGCTCTGTCTGTGGTTTGACAATAAAAGCTGGGAGCTCAGTGGGTTGGGGAAACAGTCTAGAAGACAGTCTGAGACAGAGACAGCTTGAGGGAAGGTTACAGAGAAGACTGTCCCACCCCATCGTCTCCCGTGCGTGTGTGACGGCAATGCCTGTGTCCTGCGTGTGTTCTTGCTAGCCCTGTAGTTAGTCTCCCTTGCAGCATCCCAAAAGAACCCGGTGAACACCACCTCGGTTACAACCCCAAACCAAAACCTCTGCTTGGAGAGTTTGATAGGCAGTCTATATAGGGTCAAGCAACTTTGAGGCACAATTTCTCGCGTTTGATGACAGGCCTAACAGTCTAAGGTGTTGCAATACATATAAATACATGTACCCAGTGTAGTAGCGACCCATGTAGGCCCATGATGGTATGACAAGCTATTTTCTACGATTGCTCTAGTTAATGTATGCACATCTAAAAGGACGGGTAATACTGTTGAATACAGGAATAAAGGACATGTTGGTTGTGATATCATGTTTTGTCGCCTTAATTCTTGCTTAACAAGGTTTACGATCTCAAAATTGGAATTCGAAAATATAGGAATCTTGTTGTTTTTCCGTTCTATTGCATTAGATTTGGAGTCTGCGGAGCGGAGGTTGTCATCCATAAAATTTACTTGCTGAACGTGTTGAAAAGTTCTGCTAATTCGTTAGTGACGCTGAAGAAGATGTAGAAATTTTAATAAATTTCAATATCATACAGTTTTCCCCATCTAGAATATGTTTAGTTTAGGGGTTTGTTTTTCCGCCCTGGAATTGCATGGATGCATTAAACTTCAACGCTGTATCCAAGAAAACCTCAAACACTTCTTGGAAGTCTGAAATCTCCTATTTCTTGTCTTATTTTCAGGCCTCTGAACTTGGATACCACGAATTCGAGGACACATTACAAGAACCTCCTTCCGCCAGTTCGATTCAAACCCCTTGCACCCCGCCAGGGGGCGCTGCCGCCATGGCTGGAGTGCGAGGGAGGAAGAGAGAGAAAACGTCTGGCCTTCCCCAAGAACCATAAAGTAGGAGGGACGACTTTCGCGACTATACTTAGCCGTTATGCATACACCAAAAAGCTGAATGTCGTCATTCCAAAGCCGTTGTCTATTCCAAGCAATATGTATCCGGACAGATTAGACCCTCAACATTACATGCCTCACCCTCCCAACCAAAGTTTCGACATGTTTCTCCACCACACTGTATATAACAGAACACGTTTTCCGCAAATAATGCCCAAGGACACAGCATATGTCACCATCATTAGAAAGCCGTTCGATCACCTAAAATCAGCCTGGAATTTCTATGGATACAGTCATCGGTTTGGGCTGTCAAAAATTAAACATCCTATCGCAACGTTTTTGGCCAACCCGGCGAAATACGACCATAATTGTGGGCACGGTATACATTTACCGGTTTGTCTCACCCAAAATTCAATCTCTGTCGACCTGGGATTTTCTCCTCAGAGCAATACAAAAGTAACATTGGGTTCAGATCCTGTCAGCAGAGAGAAGGTCACCCAAAAGTTCGTGAGGACGATTGACGAAGACTTCGACTTTGTGATGCTAACAGAATACTTTGACGAGTCTCTAGTTCTACTGAAGCGCCTGATGTGCTGGACAATACGGGACATCGTCTACTTTAAACGTACGAACGTCCGAAACTGCCCTCACAAGGAGATACAACTCCCACCCGATCTCCAACAAGCTCACAAGGAGTGGAGCTTCGTGGACTACGCGCTTTACGACCACTTCAACAAATCATTCTGGAGAAGAACAAACTCAAGCGGCAACGACTATTGGGGAGAAGTCGAATATTTCAAATATTTGAATAAGAAGATTGCTGAACATTGCCAGAGCCAATGCTCTTTTCACAAATCACCTTTATTTGTCAGCAGTACAATATGGAGTCCTGGGTTTACAGTAGACGGTGATCTTTGCTTGTTATAAGAAGAAGTTTTGCCTGCAATATGGCTACTCAGGCCGAACGAGTAGGAGAATCTCTGAAACTACCCCCTAAGTATAGTAAAGGCAAAAACTGTTACAGGTGGGACATTGGAGGACGTGGTAACTCGGCACTGCATTTATTGTGAACTGTTGAATTGGTGTGAGAAAATGGAAACCTTGAGTCACTTTTACCGTGACGGCTACATCAGCGAGCAGGTATTCAAGAAGACTAGACAACAACTGTGTCCAAGAAAGAGAAGAACTTCATGAATTATAAAAAAAAAGAAACTGAAAAGAAATATGTGGGGTCGTGTGGCATAGCGGTATCGTGTTTGGCTCAGGACCAAGAGGTCCCGGGTTCGAATCCTACCCATGTCACCGATCTTGTGTCCTCACTCAGGTGGAAATGAGTACCTAGCTTCGGTTATTTTGTGCTTTTCTTGTTCTATGTTTTGCAGGAGGCAGGCGTGAGGGTGTGAGAGAGAGAGAGTGGTCCCGACATCTGGGCCTAGTTCACACAAGATTGTAGTAGTTTTGTAACCAGAAGCGTGCTATACCCAGAACTATGATACGGCAAGGTTCTGGATAGCCCACATGCATCCAGAACAGTGCCTGGTGCATGGGCCATGCAGCTCAAATCAAGGACGTTTTATGATTGAACGTCAAAAATCTATAGTATGCGGAGACTATCCAGAGCCCTGCCTGATCCTAACCTATCACAGTATCAGGCATATAACTAAACAGGCATGGATCTGTATATATTGTATCCAGAACTTAGCCGATCTAGTTCTATGCCTGAAGAGGTAAGGGTCTAATATCAGGTACGGTTCTGGATGATCTTCGCGTATCCAAGAACGTAGATTTGCTACAGGCACGCACGGTTCTGGATACCAGTACGCGGCTCGGACTATCCAATGAGAATCGTCCCGGAGCATATGGTTCTGGATAAAGGAAGGTTCTGGATATAACTGGCACCCGCGTTGGCCAAATCAACATGGCCTAAATATATGTGAATTAAAAAAAGTTAACGACTTTGTAGCCTCCACCAAGTAGAATTCATTGAAAACAAGAGTTCCGAGATCTCATACCTCCATGAAATATGGGATTGCCTTGTCATACTTCATTTCAACATGTCCTCATTAATTATGCAAATGACATCTACATTAACATAATATATGTATAGTGGTGTTAATCTTACACATGTCACGAGGTATAAAATTCTCATCATTCACCAATAAGGAGTCACAGAATTTTCACATTAATTATGAAAATTAGGTCATCATTAGCATAATTGGTATCTGTTGATATTCCTCCTGCCACAGATTAAATAGATTGCATGTATATTTAAGAACTATTATATAAAACACTGTAATTATAGAATTTCCTCCTTAATTATGCAAATTAAGTCCTCATTTGCATAATTTGCATTTAGTTATGAACAAATCTCTCTCTCAGCTACCTACACACCAAATATCATGAAAATACATTGTTCCTATCTGGAGTTATTGGCTTTTAAAGATTTCGCCAGAAGTCCCCTGCAGTTCCAGAGCAAGCTGCTAGGGGGACCAAACCCACACCACTTATTCCTGACAGGAAAAGCTATCTGTCACCAAAAAGTCAAGACCAAGTTCTGCTGCAGTACCAAGGTCATCCACCAGGAGGCCCATATTTGACCTTGACCTTTGTCTTTCCAAGACCTACCAGCATACCAAATATCATGGCAATCCATAAAGGCGTTCTGAAGTTATACTGACCACAAAGTTGCGGAAGCACACACAGACAGACACACACACACACAGACAGACACACACACAGACATACAGACAGACACGCCAAAAACAATACCTCCATTTTTCATGGAGGTAACAATATGTTTTCCTTCGGTAAAAATAATTATTCATTAAATATCAACAACACTATAGCCTACGATTGTTATCAAACTATTCGTGAAAACTACTTCTAATTCTTTAGAAAAGCAGTTTTCATCTTCAAAACCTGCTGTCCCATGATGACTGTTATCTTCAGCTCAAAGGAATTCTGCCAGGCATGTACTGATGTAGACAACAGAAATAAAGCGCTTCTGTCCTTAGTCCAAACAGATATAAGAGTAACTAATCCAAAGATTGAGCCTACTTGTACCAGATGTTCATGATCTCTGTAACATGGCTCGAAATACCCATGTGTAATGTGCAAAATAAACAGAAATAACAGGAGCTTTTTGACTAATTTGCATCATCCTTGTCTAGACTTGCCTAACTTTTAGACATCCAAACATATTATCTTCATTTATTTGTATATCCGTGAATAGTTAGTGCTTATAAACCTGTCATTCTACTGTGGTCTCTTATAGTCACTGATGAAAGGTATCCCGGTACTGGATGCTACCTGAAATGTCTGACCACTTCCAAAATCATATCCAGAATTTTGGTTAATTTTGGTTTTTTGGGTGTATCTTATTACCTGGATGTTTAACCTTCACCATATAATTTTGCACATTTTTCAAATTGCACCTAAAATTTTTTTTGCAATGTGCAATTTTGCACGTACCTAAGAAATGTATTTCGAGCCCTGTGGAATGAGGTGTAAGGCCACACCAATTTAATTTCTTGGTTAATGGATTCGCTCGTCTCATTTTTTTCTGATTTGAAAAAAAAAAAAATCAGAATCAACTGCAAAATGCTCATATTTTGCCCTGAACAGTTGAAAACAGTCCTTTTCTTCCTAGTTGTTACAGTTATTCCATCTTTCAATGCAGTGGTATCATTAAAAGTTAAAAATTCATTGTTTAAATTTTGAACCAGCCTGGTGTGTTGACTTCATGGCTCCTATCTTACCATTTTGGGCCATAATAGGATGCCTAGGCCTGTTTTCATTTTTTTTTTTCGCCCGCCTGCTCCATAATTTTTCTAGAAAAATACGTTAACCAAGAAATTAAATTGGTGTGGCCTAAGCTGGGTTGATATTTACCTTGCCATGAGCTCTGGTAGCCTGTGATACAGCAGCTCGTTAGCAGACGGTCAGTACTGAGGCTCCCTCTGCAGCATGTCCTGTATCAGGTCCTTAAACTCATGACTGTAGTTCCCCTTCACTGGAGCAAACTGTCCGTTCATGATCTTATTCACCAGCGCGGGTAAATTGGAGCCCTCAAATGTTCTGTGTAAGCACGCCATCTCGTACATGATACACCCCAGCGCCCAGATGTCCGATTTGTCGTTGTACGCCTTCCCCTCGCACATCTCAGGTGAGATGTAGTATGGCGTGCCCAGTACTGTGTTCGCACCGTGATTTGCTGACGTCATCATTTTGGATATTCCAAAGTCGCCAACTTTGATGACTCCCTCCTTTGTGAGAAAGATGTTGGCAGTTTTCAGGTCCCTGTGTAGGATGTTGTGTTCGTGAATATGCCGTATTGCTGCCACTATCTGTTGGAACATGAAGAGGATTTCCTTTTCCGGACAGCGGTGTTTCCCTTTGGCCAACGTATTTCGCAAGAGTCCTCCATCCGCATATTCCATCTCAATCATCAGAACCCCATCTTCCTCAAGCTGTCATAGTATGTGATGATGTTCGGATGGTCTAACATCGCTAGGACTTTGACTTCGTTCAGAGCCATCTGTCTTTCAGATGCTGTTAAGTCGTGCATGTTGATTTCTTTCAGAATGACCAGAGAATCGTCGTCCTTCTTGCGGTACAATACTGCCGTACCGTACGCCCCTTTTCCGACGGTTCTAATCTTTTCAAACCCGGCGAGTGTTTGAGGACTGGATCCGTTCAGTTGCTGTAGTTTATCTTCTCTGAAGTACACTCCCAACTGTGGTGGAACTGTCTTCTCCTATTCTCTGTCATGCTGATTTCTGCTGCTGACAGATCTTTTGCCATTCCAACGGACACTCCTAACAAGGACTCCATCTCCTGTAGTATGGTACCACTCTCCACACTCTGAACAGCACTGCAGGCCAGGAAGTCCAGCCTGGCATTGACAAAGGACCTGTCCAGGTGGTTTTCTACCAACGTGCTGTAGAAGTCACGGATGGAGGATTGTTCTATGATGTTCACCGAAGTCAACAAACGGTCAGAACAGACATAAATACTTCCACCAGAGCTATGCATCACACAAGCAATACTTTCCACTTTTGTTCCTCCTAGTACTTCAGCTGTCTGTTTCAGAATGCCATCAAGGGTCGAGTTCTCGTAGTTGTACCTGATGACGTGAATGTTAGAGCGAACGGATGCAGCGATAGTCCCGCTGTTTTTCGCACGCGAGGAGAGAAGGAGAAGTCTTGGTGGGTTGAAGGAAATGTTGTCGTCCACTGGAATGGTGGAGATGGTTGACTGACTGTCCTGTCTCTGTGGAGGGTACAGGACGCCCACCGAGGTGAAGAGTGTGTTCTCAACTTTGGTGTCATCTCTGGTGACATGGACGTCCACTGGAGGCCTTGTGCCTGCTATAACAGGAATATTTGTACATTACCAAAATATCACATCGTTGAATAGGTTCATCAGTCACGTAGAAAATTTTATCAGTTAGTAGAATACTCCTCAATTAGGGACTCTTTTGAAGGTAGAAACACGTACCTCTAAATTTTCGATGTCCACTGTACATCTTGTTCACGGAGTGACCTAGTCTCACGAGAACACGAGACTAGGTCGAGACTTGTGTAGGATCTTCTGACCTTCCCCCGCTACCTTGCGGAGTAGGGTTGTAGGACTTGGGCAGCTCCAACTTCACTGCGATTCATCCCTAGTCTCGTGTTCTCGTGAGACTAGGTCATTCCGTGAACAAGATGTACAGTGGACATCGAAAATCTGGAGGTACGTAATCTACCTTTCAAAAACAGTCACTGATTGAGGAATATACTAACCAAAATATCACAATTCTCATGCTTGTATTACCTTAGTATTATGATTTGACAACTTGTTCTCAAGGAACCCGTGAAATATAAGGTTTTAGGATGGAAAATCTTGTGCTTATTATTTCAGTCCTAGAAAAGGGTCTGTAGGTAGGGATTTTTTTTCCATGGAAATTAAAATGGAAAAACAGATATAAGAGCTGACCTGCATTAGCATATATCCCAGTGGTCTTCTGCTCTCCTGCTCCCTGACTGCCAGCACTGCTTCTCCTGGAGGCTGCTGTCTCTCCTGAATACAAGAAAAATACTGATCAGTACATCCATGGGTTAGCCAAGTCCCTAAACTCCAGCCATCATGTGTTGGTGGTTACTTTAGTTAGTACTGCTGGGGTATCAAAATTTGATGTATTTTTTTTTAACAGAGTGGTTCAATGCACGGCCTATACGACCACTTCTCTGCATTGAACTAGAAATATGAGAGACACATGGCTATGTCAAGAGATGGCGGTGAACGTTTGATTTGAAAGCCTGTAGATTGTAGGTTGTTGGGAAACACTTGTCAGGGAGGGTATTCCAAAGCTTGGCCGTACGGGGAAAGAAACTGTCACTGTAAAAAGATTTCGAACAAGGAATTTGAACAGTGAGGTTGTGTGAGCTACTGGAGAACCTAGTGAAACGCTTAAAAGTTCTGAGTGGTGGAACTAGTTAGGTGAGTTCTGCAGAGCAATGACAATGAAAATATCTGTAAAAGAGGGATAGAGAGGCAACATTTCGTCTATGGGAAAGGGGGTCTAACTTGGAGACCAGAGGATATTTATCAATACTATATATTGGAGGCCAGAGGATATCTTCTATCAATACTATATATATTTAATACTATAACTGCCATCATGTAGGAAAAAGCGGCAGGTGAGTTGGTACTGACCTTTGCTGTTATCTGCAGCTGTGTCACCCTGCTGTCCACTCCCCTCCTCCCCCTTGTTGCCAGGTGCTGTTCCTGTAGCTGCAGCTGCATCTCTACGGGTGCTGTCAGTGCTGTTTCTGGGCACAGCTACATCAAAGTAGTCAATCAGTATAGATTAGTGGTGAATAAGTACAAATGTAGCATTACTAGACTATATGATGGGCAAAGACAGACTAGAGGTGAATTTTTCAGTTCTTTCACTGTCTTTGTACACATGTATAATTGATAGATGGGCAGGCACGACAGATAAGGCCATGCCAATTTAATTTGTTGTTTCTTGGATTTGCCCTGTCCATTTTTTTCTGATTTAAAAAAAAAATATCTTAAGGTTCTAAATCAACTGCAAAATGCACTATAAAAGACATATTTTGGCTAGAACGGTTGAAGAAAGTCCTTTTCTTCCTAGTTGTTAAAGTTTTTCAGTGTAACAATGCAACTTTGTTTCATTTAAAGTTCAAAGTACATGTATATTGTTTTAATTATAAACCAGCCAGGTATGTTGACTTCAGAGTTCATATTGTACCATTTATGGCTATCATAGGGTGCCTTGGCCTGTTTTTTTTTCCGCCCTGTCGCTTCATATTTTTCTGAAAAAATCCGAGAAGCAACAAATTAAATTGGTGTGACCTAATTCTGGGACCAGTGCTCCTCCAGACAAAAATGGTTGAAATCATGATGTCTTAGCACCATGTCCTTAATAATATTGATGTAACGTTACATGTTAAACATGCCTGTGTGCTTCTCTTCTGAAATTGCAAATCACTTTCTTGTTGGGCCATTTAGTGTTAGGGCTCGAAATACTGGGTGCACCGTGCATGTGATGTGATTGTGCATGTACATGTATTCGTTGCTTGTTTTGTATGTAGCAAACGTAGCAGTGTTTATTTGTTCGAGGAGAGCCTGCCGAGAGCACATGATAGCTAACGTATCGCAGCGTTCTTCCAGTCAGTGGAAAAACAAACAAAATACGCAAACAAAAAAAATTACAAGCAAATTTACCGATCCTAATGAAGTTCACTGTTTTTAATGCGTAAATATGACTCGTGTTTGTATTCTTTGTGTCGTTATTTGTGTTCGATACCCTGTCCACCCCCCACCCCCATACAGTGTAGTTTCAATGAAGTCCGACAGTTTGAGCCTCAGAGTCTCTTAATCGGAAAGGCCGGGTGATTGAAAAAAATTTGCTGGCAAATTGGCTTTGCAAAAAAAGCGGCATCCACTGTACTTAGATGTTAAAGATATGCTGTATGAGAAGAATATACCATACATTAAGGTATATACTATACATTTACTATACATACATTTACATACATACATTACATACTATACATTTACATACATTTACTATACATTTATATGTTAAGAATATACTAAACATTTACATATTTACATACGTAAACCTATGGAGATATTTGGGTGCACTGGTCCACCCACAGAAAAAATTGGGTGCACAGCTCCAAATTTGGGTGCACTAAGGTGCACATGCACCCAGTATTTCCAGCCCTGAAAATTTAGGGTCAATCATCTGTTTCTGAAAGTTGGTTTCTGTTACTGTGCAAAAAAACATTTTTTAGGTTCAAATCAACTGCAAAATGCTCAATGAAAGACATATTTTGGCCCCAATGGTTGAAGAAAGTCCCTTTCCTTCCTAGTTGTTATAGTATTTCAATGTTACAATGCAACCTTGTTTCATTAAAAGTTCAAAATCTATTGTTTTAATTATAAACTAGCCTGGTATGTTCACTTTATGGCTCATATTGTAGCATTTCCGGCTACCATGGCGTGCCTTGGGCTTTTTTTATTTTTATTTCGCCCTGCGAAATAAGCAACAAATTAAATTGGTGTGGCCTTAACATGGTAAGAAGATAGGACAGGAATGACAAGATAACAGATGTCATTCTGTATCTGTCAAGATGGTGTCCGCAAGACAGTTCTACCAGTTGACCAATTCAGATTTAGTTTATTTTGTGTTTATTTATACAGAATATTGTACTCAGGTCATTTGACCTGTTTTTCAGACAACCCTGTTTTTTTAAAAACAACGCAATACAATCACAATCACAACAATTACAGCATATACAGCTAGTTACATTTTCTATATCATGCATCTTCGTTAAGCGACATTTAAATGTCCTGAACTCAGTCAGTGTTCCATGTTAGAACTTCCAACTGTGATAGACTGTTTTCACTGATTTGTCCAGGGATGCCTCCTAGCAAACCCTGATGGTACTGCAACTTTGTATCATATCAGTAGAGGGCTACTGAAAGTCTATTAAGCCATCCTTTTTCAGCTTTACCAGGTGCTATGAAGTTTTATCTGTTGAGACTACAGAGTGATTGACAATTGCCAGCTTTTTTTGTGTTTACAGGTACTGTGATCATTGGTGATTCTTTGATAAGACCACACCAATTTAATTTCTTGGTTAACGGATTCGCTCTCTTAATTTTTTTTCTGATTTGAAAAAAAAAATTCAGAATCAACTGCAAAATGCTCATATTTTGCCCTGAACAGTTGAAAACAGTCATTTCCTTCCTACTTGTTACAGTTATTCCATCTTTCAATGCAGTAGTATCATTAAAAGTTCAAAATTCACTGTTTAAATTTTGAACCAGCCTGGTGTGTTGACTTCATGGCTCCTATCGTACCATTTTGGGCCATAATAGGATGCCTAGGCCTGTTTTTATTTTTCGCCCGCGCGCTCCATTATTTTTCTGAAAAAATCCGTTTACCAAGAAATTAAATTGGTGTGGCCTAATAAGTAAGTATAAATTGTGTTGAAACAAGACATGTTGCCAAGTTGACTAATTTGTTGAACTCACCTGAAGCAGTTTTACTGAGTTTTTTGTTGTCGTCCCTGGCAGACCTGTTGCCCTGCCTGTCCCGAGGGTCCCCGCTGGGGTACCTGGTCCTGGCAGCCGTGCTGGAGGCCATGGCAGGAACAACTTAGTTCATGGTAGCACTGGGAGGTCCTGAAAATGAAATAGGTGGCTCCATTAAACTATTTATTAATTAAAGCCTCGGTCACAACCTGCCGTACGTGCATCTGCGTGCAACATCTCATGCAAAAACGTGGGCAAACGTAGGGCATCCGTGCGTGGTGAGTACCGCCTCCGTACGGAATCCTACGGATTTTTGGAGCACGCAGACACGCCGTAGAACTTTAAGTGCATGTAAAACTTTTTCTGCGTGCGGTCTGCGGATTCACCACCCGTGCGTGCGAGTACAGATGACGTGTGTGCCCCGTACGTACCGTACATAAACAGCATGTGTGAGTACGACTGTTTTATTCCCTAGGTCTAACGGCAACAGAAGCCGACCACATTTATTTTCACAACTGGAGACTCCACTTAAGTATTGGCTTGTTCAGTAACCAAAGAACATGAATTACCACTCCAGGAACAATTCCATCATCTACTGAGATGGAAGGAGGCTGATGATAATATCAACTGATATTAACGTGTGGCATAATCGGTGGCATGTTTGGCTCACACCCCAGAGGTCGCAGGTTTGAACCCCACCTTGTCACCAATCTTGTGCCCTTGGGAAAGATACTTTACACGACTTTCCTCACTTCACTCAGGTGCAAATGAGTACCTAGCTTTGGTTAGGGACGTCCCTTGGATAGGACGTAAACTGGAGGTCCCGTGTTTGGGGAGAGCCACACTCCATGCACGATAAAGAACCCACCACACTTATCGAAAAGAGTAGGGGACCTTCCCGGTGTGAGTGGTTCAAACCTGGTCTTACCCAGCTTGTACGTTCTTGTACAAAACTGGTGTATTACAACAAGGTGGAATCAGTATCCTTATTTACATGTATTTGTAGCTAAGGTACCCAAGTTGATAGAGATAGAAATGTGCGTCGTTATTTTTGGCAATCTAAACACCACTAGTACTGCATATGACTTCAGTTGGACATGGGTTAACTAAAACAAAGTCCCTGCGTACATTTCAAGATTTATACTACTTTACAGTATTCCTTAAAATATATGTTATAGTCACTGTTCTGATGTGAATTTGCATGCCTTTTGTTACAGGTGTTGTACATTACTGTGAAATGATGCCTTGACAACATTGTAGGGGGGCCGGCATGGGGGGTCCCAACAATGCTCTACGCTAAATTTTGAGAGCTGGCGAGACGATAAACGGATAGTGAGTGAGTGAGTGAGTGTGGCTACGTATTACGCTGAATTCAGGAAACCTCTCGATTATGCTTTACGTTAAATTCTAAGTCAAGTGGCTACAACGCATTACGTAGAATTAAAACGGCAAATACGCTCTATGCAAAATGCGCCAATTACGCTCTACGTTGAATTAGAGCGGTCCGTCTACGCTCTATGTAGAATTAAAATGGCCGATCTCAGGAATGACCAGGGCTTGTCCTTATTTTCTGTGCCCTTCCAGCTGATCATTGGGTATCAAAATTGCGCCCAATGTTGACGAAATCTTTAGGGCCAAGAATGAGTGACATGGCGATAGTGGTCATGTCAGATATGATATCCTTCTTCTTCTTGGTACAAGAGTGAGAGGAGCGTGACTCCTTCGTCTTCCTTTTAATGCCCACGATCATCATACTGATCATTCTGGCTGGCATGCCAATTCTTGGCAAGTCTCCGGATTGTAGAATTTGTACCATCGCACACCGGGGCATGCCCCTACTCTTTTTCGAAAGGTGTGGTGGGTTCTTTAACGTGCTCGAGGTGTGGCCCTCCTCAAACACGGGACCTCCAGTTTACGTCCTATTCGAGGGACGTCCCTAACCGAAGCTAGGTACTCATTTACACCTGAGTGAAGTGAGGAAAGTCGTGTAAAGTGCCTTTCCCAAGGGCACAAGATCGGTGACATGGGTGGGGATCGAACTCAGGACCTCTAGGTCTTGAGCCGAAAGCGCTACCGCTGCGCCACACGACCCAACAACGTCACAGGTTTATATACTGTGACTTATTTCCTCCTTGTACTGACTACAGGTACCCTCCAGGTATGATGCCAATTTCTGACATGTTCCGACACAATGTGATAGAAATGCTTGAATATTGTTTTGCACTTCCATAGGGTGGATTACATTTAGAAAAAAAGAAAATCCACTTAAAAAATCACCCACTGAATATCAATGTGGCATATATAAACTTACATACTACTAGTAATCAATGACATTATCCTTGGGCATAATATTTTATACTTGGCCTTAAACATTTTGTCAACATTGGGCGAAGTTTTGATATGGGATGAGAAGTTGTAAGGGCACAGAAAATAAGGACATGCCCTGGTAAATTTCTGAGAGATCAGCTCAGATTTGCAACTACGGTCTGTCTAGAAGTAAACACTATAAAACAGCAATACTTCCGCCCCAAAAAACGCTCCAAACTACGTCTGTCCGACTCACACGACTTACCTGACGAGAGCCTAGCGTGTAGTTCACCACGTTCCATTCTTAGTCATGACTTTTATGGCGTTATCTTATTAAAAACGACCAAAACTTCTTCTCAAATCTACACACAGACTTCGCAACTAAGGTTTGTGGCAACTGGATATTCGGAATGTAAAAACAAACATGGCAGCATATTCGAATACATGCTAATACCAATAATACAAGTTAGTTTTGATAACATCAATGCAATTTTTTTAACAAAATGAATATTACTAATTAGTAATAAGCTGAAAAATAGTGATATCAATGGGGAAAATACCACAGTGCGTTTATTTATCATCTAAAACATTGAAGTAGTCAAATGTACGAATAAGAAGCTAGTTTTACGGCTTATTACGGAAGTAACAGGTGTTAGCTCAGTTGCATGCTGGGAAAATGTTAATTTTAAAGCAGATGTTGGGTTGTTGCAAGAATCAGGCAGGAATGTAACGTTAATATTATATGCTGGCCAAATCCCTTCGCAAATTATTTTCCCCCAGCCCACGTTGTTAGTCTGGAGGAGACTATGGAATTGGGTCCAGGGCCTGGTAACAGTTACATGTTACTTGTGCGAAGTTGGTTTGTTTTTTAGCAGGCTTCGTCCGATTTTGGAAGGTGAAAATCAGGCTCTGTGGTGAAAAACGTAATCTCCAAGCAGATCTTTTGGTGGGGGTAAGACAGTCTGTAACCATTTCCCTACCCAAGTTGGTGGTGGTAGCGACAAAAAAATGGCCATATATATAGAGCAAACGATCTTCCACCATCAACCTCTGCTTGGAGAGTAGAAAAACGGACGTAAAATCGCCAGCTAACCGGCAAGCTGCGACCTTTACATAATGGGAAAATCGCTGGGAGCAGGTTTCCTTGACAAGGCAGATGTGCTACTATAGACCTCCCTGTTAATGTTAATTCGCACAAGGTGTGTTTGTTATTTCAATATAGTTAACGTTAGGGCAAGAAGAACCTCCTGGGGTAGAAAATGTTAAATTATGCAAATGAGGACCTATTTGCGGAATCAACGAAAAATATTTATATTATGCCATTTTTATGTCATTGATTTTCAGGAGAGTCTGGTCAAGCGAAAGTCACGCGCCAAATGTCTGAATAACCCTTTCACGAAGCGCAGCAAATTACGAATATTAGATGGCTAAAGTTTGCATAATCAACATGTAATTATTTTAGTATCCAAATCACAACAATCAACCCCTTCATGAGTTATCCTCTTCGAAGATTTTAATAGCCCTGCCGTTTAGAAAAAAGCTGCTAGCATGTCACTTTTTTACCGAGCACAAGCCAGAGCTATCTACCAGTAGCCTGGTGTCCAGCCTTGTTGGCGGGGAGCGGATCTTGGGGAGCGTACTAACAAGGCTGGACACCAGACTAATCTACCAGGGCATGTCCAAGGCCAAGGGCAAGGGCACTCCTATCAAGACTGGGCAGTATAAGAAAGCTACCAAGAGGGCCAAAATTTTAATCTTTTCTTCGTTTTGTGAACATGCCAAGTATCTTAAAAACCCACGACTTCACCCATCAAAGACTTGAGCCATGCTGCATGCTGTTCACAGACAGACAGACAGACGGACAGACAAACAGACGGACGGACGTACTCTCCAAGCAGAGGTTAGAGTTTTGGGGGTATTTTTTTAGCATGCCTTTAGGCTTTTTTTTATCGGGGTTTCTCTTTTGCACTGAATTTTCCCCCCACCAAACCCTGGCTAAAAATACCCCCAAAACCCAGACCTCTGCTTGGAGAGTAGGACGGACGGACGGACGGACAGACAGACGGACAGACATATAACGTTACATACAGACGACGCACAGACATAACCTTCTTGGGGAAGGTAAAGCAACACCGAGATTTATTCTTCCTTTGAAGATTTGTCGAGTTCACCTCCGCAATCACGGTGCCTATTACACGTACGGTGCCAGGAATCCACGATCCACGGTACGCGCGGTCGAGATCCACGGAGCCTGGGATCTATGGCACCGGAAAGGAGGGATTGAAAGGGAAAGGTCTATATTGAGAACCCACCCGGTTTCATGTTCACATCCCAATGTCACATGGTCAATTCTGCCACCTGATTGGCCGCTGGGTGAAGAGATTAAGATCTAACATCCTCTGATTGGTCCGAAAATTTAAAGTCGAGTGCGGCGCGGGAAATGTTGAATGAGGATTGGCCAGTCTTTGACGTCAGTGAATACTTAATAATTAGGAAGGCGGCTTCCGGCAAGGCAAGAGAGAACGCTGAATTTTCTGTAGGTAAGAATCTAGATTTTATTATTGTTTCACACCGTATAACCGATGTTTGGCATGTTGGGACATCGTTTTAATGCCGTCTTCGGACGTGAGATCCCATGAGTCGGTCTGCGGGCCGGCTGGAATGGCGAGCGTGCTCCATTGTTCCGTCCCATCGTTAGCGATGCAGCATACTAATAGCGGCTTCGGTCAACCAAGTCTAGCATCTACCATTCCGCCCTAACCGTTTGATACAAAATCGGGGGTTGTAGGAAGGGAATTCGAGTGAGAAAATTGTTCTGAACGCCTGATTTTGTCGGAGTTGAAAGGAAAGGTTGAAGATTTTCAGGGTTTTTGCGTAAACAAAGGCCGTGCTTCGGTCTGGGTGGGAGGGCTGCGGCTTACTGTGCCTGCGTCAGTCGGCTTTACGGGCAGGGCCACACCAAGTTAGTGTTTTGGTTGCCGGATTCGTGGCTTCCTTTTCTTTCTGATTTGAAAGAAAATCCAAAATTAACTTACCGTTTGAATTTATCATTTCACATACTAAAATTTTGGCACCACCAGCTAAAGAAAGCAAATTGTTCCAGTTTTCCCACAAGGAATCAAAATTCACCTTTTACACTTACCCATGTGTAGTCAGGATGATCATATGTTTTGGGAAGTGTTGTAAAAGTTTTTGAATAAAGTACTGTTTTTTGTAGCCGTATTTCAACTGTTTCCATACTGTGGATGATGCTGATTTCGACCATATTGTAGTCAATTCATATGTCATATATTCATAGACGTCATATACCGAATAACGTTAACGTTACATGTATTTAATTAATGGACAGTGATGATGACCTAAGCATTTAAGCAGTGGGCATGATGATGACTTTTATTCTCCCGAAGGCCCGGTTTACACGGGGGCTAAAATATCATTTGGCCTGCGTCGAACAATGCGACACATTTTTTTAGCGTGAAAACACACATTTTTCTGTGGCACATCCAGGAGGTGCCACAGGAAAACTGACGCGTGGCGCCGTGCGTAATGTTCACACGCTAAAAAAATGTGTCGGACAAAACGCGCAGTAGGGCGCCTTGTACGCAGGCCAAATGATATCTTTGCCCTCTGTAAACCGGGCTTCAAGCACATGAAACCTTTTTTGTTATTTGATACAGATGTATAAGTGAAAATTCTTACCCCAACACAACAAAAAATTGTATATAACAACCCCCAAATATAGATCATACATTTGCCATTTGAGTGGGAAAGTAACATACCTTTGCATGAAAATGTTGTAAATGAATTCGTGGAATTAACTGCGTTTTCAAATTAAGTACATATCATCATTGCCTTCGGCAAGAAGGTTATGTTTTCAGAGGCGTTTGTGTGTGTGTGTGTCTGTCTGTGTGTCTGTCTGTAAACATGATAACTCGAGAAGGCTTAAATGGATTGCCTTGATATTTGGTAGGTGGGTAGGTCTTGATGAGACCTCGAAATGATTAGATTTTGGGCCCCCTAGCGGCTTCTTATGGTACTGCAGCTGAACTTCCAGTTTTGATATCTCATGACCTAGACATGCTAGGGTGACGAAATTTGGATGATAGGTACTAGTATGTTAGTATTAGTACTAGTGCTGGGGAAGAAGTGATGTGAGTTTGGTCCCCATAGCAGCTTGCTGTGAAACTGCAGGGGTGTTTGTTTAATTATATTCAGTGTTCTAGCCAGGCCTTTTTAGCTTAGGGGCCCCCTATGCTATGATTTTGACCCTCTATGCTATAATATTTACCCCTATGCAGTATGCTGTCTTTCAAGCAGCATAAGGGTGTTTTGGGAGGGAGAACCTTCATAAATCTTGCAATAAATGAAAATATAACTTTAGATAGCTATAGCAAAGGGAAAGCCTTAACTTCACAAAATCTGTTCTTCATTAAACAAGAAATAGTGTCTCAGGGGGTTATGAGTTTCAAAATATTTTGGCTCAATGCGCAACTTGAGCCATGAAGGTTGCTCTTCTGTGTACCTGACCCCTATGCTACATGAAAAAATCCTAGAATTCAAAAGAGGATAACTCAAGAACCGGTTGACGGATTGTCATGATTTTTGGTATGTAGGTAGCTTACGTAATCTGGACATAATGATGTGACAATTATGCAAATATAGATGAAATTTGCATAATCTATGAGGAAATGAATGAAATCAGCTGCATTACATGATAGGACTATTCAAGCTTGTGGCATATGTAATTGAGAACGAGAGAAACACAGGTAGGTGTTGATTAATTAATTTGCATAATGAATAAAAAATGTTATAATTCAAGAGTGGTAAGTGCCAGGAATTTCATACTTGGAGTATTTGAAAGTGACTAACTGCACATAATTATTCATTCATTCATTCATTCATTCATTCATTCATTCATTCATTCATTCATTCATTCATTCATTCATTCATTCATTCATTCATTCATTCATTCATTCATTCATTCATTCATTCATTCATTCATTCTTTATTTCAGGTAAAAACCCATATAACACATGTGCAGTACATCATTAAAATAATACAAAAACTCTACAGACATACAAATAAAACAGGAAGAAACCTAGAAGCATAATAAATTGTAGGTCTTCCGGAAGAATGAATTCCCGTAAAAGGCATCGGAATGTATTAAGCGACTGATTGTTGCGTTGTTGGAGGAACATAATCTTTTTAGAAAAGAGTAACAAAGTTTCAAATGTGTCAGTATAATGTCAGTATAGTTTCAAATGTGTCAGTATAGTGTCAGTATAGTTTCAAATGTGTCAGTATAGTGATAGACAAACATTTCACTCGCACTACATCGCCGAGGTAAATTCATAATAAGTCTAAAACAATTGCTATAAGCATAATTATGATGCAGTATCATGTTTCATGGATGTCTCTCTCAATTTTCTTGGCAGCCGGCATTGTGGTTGACAACGTACCTTCTCAACCCAGTCCCAGGATGTCTAAACGGAAACTGACTGACCCAGACGGGCCGGGAGTGTCAGACTTGGATGAGTCTGACTCACAGGACGGTCTGGAGCAGGACCACAGCAGCACCTCCACACAAAGCTCGTCTGAGGATGAAGAGGATGAGAACTGTACAGAAGGGGAGATGTACCTGACAAAGGACATCCATCCACTCACACCGCCAGACCCTAGTATTGTTCCAGGTGACATGTCTAGATCTTCTCATGCATTGTGACAGTCTAAATCATATTTATGTTTACCGAAGGAAAACATTGTTTTTACTTACTTTCTTCCTCCTCTTCTGTTCCAAACACTAACCTCTGACCTGACCAATGACATGATTTGTTGACGTCTGCCACCATGGTGACTGGTGTTAGCTTACATATTGTTGCAATTTCATGGTCTGCTCTACTCCTGTTACATTATACTCGTAGCACATGTATGTAAATATGTTTGAGTAAAAATTAACAGGGTAGACCATGTCTGAAGGTAAACATTATGCATTTGCTTTGCAAATGTTACTTCTCTAGTTCTTCTCATGCATTTGTTTATTTGTTTATTTTGATTTATCACAAAGTGAAAGGGAGGGCAAAACAGGTGCATACGCACCTTTACAAGTTGTCCTCCCCCATACAAAAACACTATACAACATCAAAATTTACCTAGTCAAAAATAACAATTACAGCAATACACAGAATAGGTAATCGAAATAGAAGGTTAAGCATAATTCAAATATATCTGATAAGTTGAAACAAGTCTTAGTGAGGTCTAGAAGCAATACAAGAATTACACCCACAAGACGTGGTCCAAGTACATGGCAGGTCAAGACTGTAATGTGTGTTAAATCTGTTGTAGGTGGCCATTTTGACAGTCTAAATCATATTCTAGGCGTAGGAATAGAACTATTAGGAGTTACATACAAAAGTCAAATCCTTCAGACATAGTTTTACACATAGCTATAGTTTTAGACAAGTACCTTTCATCTTTAGATTTTAGTTATTTCAAACTCTATGTTCTTTTATTTTTACTCCGTGAAGGAGGTCAGGACCTCCGGATTTTTGCCGTTGCTGCTTTCGCGGTCAATGTAATATTGCAGATGCACCCCTACAATTACGAGGCGAATTGGAATGGTCCAGAAAAACGCGTTGTTTGGAATAGCAGTGGGGGGGGGTGGAACTTCATGCAGATACGGGGTGGTTTTGATAAGTGGTTCCAGATGTTTTTGCCCATGCTTAAGAGATGCCAAGTTTTTTGGAAGATGTTCGCAGCCAAAACGCATTCTTCCGTACGTCGCATTTCTGTGTAATTTCGCATGTGGTGTGGCATTATGTCCAGGATGATGCACGTCTTTTTATTTTTACCGTAGCTGTTTTGATATTGAAGTAAATGCAT